TTGGCCGCCATTTTTTTGTCTTATGACAGAGATGGATTTTGACTCGTTTATCTAGCCTCCACTCGCCTCTTGCCCCAAAACACAATTTGGAAGCTCGTGGTCAAGAGGGAGAGGGAGAGGGAGAGGGAGAGTATGTTTCGTATCGATGCGCCTCTGGATTCCATAATTTGTATTGAGCTGATTTCTCCTTACTTTTGTGGAACCCCATAATTTGGCGCTTTGGGTGCCAATTTATGACCAAAATCAGCGTTTACGGTGTCGATATGTATTTTTGGAATATTTTTCATTTTAGCTCCCTGCCACATAACCCATATTCGGTCCTGAATCCTGATCCCTGCGGGATAAATTCTTGGCAGAATCTTATTCCGAGTGCATTAGTAAGAAATTTCGGAACTTTTTAAAAGATATTGTTAATAAATTTTACACTCTAATATTTTCTTGAAAGTTTTAAAACTTTTAGCTCTTTTTCTTAAGAGGATGTTTTTTAACTCTTGTGTAGAGGTGAACAGTAAGTAATTTTGTGGGATTTCGAGTGGGCTCAAACCAAACCACTAAGTGATGCATGAAACAGAAAGTGAGTCACACTCACCCAAACATGTAACTATAGGTGGGTTGGGTTGGATGATTGTTGATGGTGAGTGGTTGTCTAGTCCCAATTTGCTAGATTTACAACATTCATTCCAAAAAGGTCACATAATTCAAATTGTTTTGAACTTAAAATGAAAAAAATCTCCAAACTAAATAACATTTAAATTATAAATCGGATGCATCATTTTGTTTGCAATATTACTATTAGCGATCGTTCACAGTCACAGATCACAAAATTATTTAACAATGGTGTAAGTCTAATAATAATCAAATAAAAAAAAAGATGAAGTTCAATCATAATCTAGCTAATTGTGTAAGTCTTCCAGCCACATTCACTCACTCAAACCTATCTAATTGTCCGAAGTCTTTAGTCACAACCACTCACTCAATACACATAAGTTTGAGAAGATATTCATTTGAAACTGGGAAGAAATGATAACTAGAGATTTTGGCGGATCTTTTGATCAAGATTGGAATTTTTTTATTTATTTTTATTTTGAGGGTTTCAACTTAGATAAAGCTATTAGCTATAGGTTAGTTTTTGTTGGTTTGAGGTTACAATTTTACATGGTTGTTCGTGGCTCAATCACAATCCACTCACACCCCAAGTGGGTCGCCTATTTTTAAACCTACACTCACCCATATAAACTACCAACAACCTAACAAGTAAATTGTTTGTTGATTAATTTGAATGGATTTGTGGGTTCAGGCTCACTCTTGCCCTTGGGCATCGTAATCCTTATCCATAAATTAAGAGCTGGGCAGAGAAGCAGGGCAATCCGACTACAGCCCATAAGAGCTCAATAAAGTTGTCCACCACTCACCTCTGATCTAATGATGGCCCACTGGAATGAAGAACAAACTACTTCGGCCCTATCTCCCTCCCAACCCCCACAACCCACCCACGGTAGGGATGGCAATGGGGCGGGTTTGGGGCGGGTTTGTCTAAACCATCCCCATCCCCATTTTCAAATACCCAAACCCATACCCGCCCCATACCCATGCAGGGGAATGTTTTGCAAACCCATCCCCATACCCGTGGGTTTCGGGTACCCATGGGTAATACCCGTACCCATACATCCAACATTATTATACCTAAAACTTATAAGAAAAGTTGTAATTATAACTCTAAACGAACCTATTATATCATGAAGTCAACAAAACACGGTCATTTTCTTAATACGGTTCAAAGTATATGATCCTAAAACATCCATTAATACATAATATAGAGTATAATATTTTTCAAATTATTATCTTCTAACTCTTATACATCTACTAAGTAATAATTAACTAACATAATCTTGTAGACAAGGGGAAAAGTGAAAGAGTGAAAGGCGAATTGAGGGAAATGAGTTAGATTTTGATTAAAATGGTCACTCAATTGCATTTCTACTATTTATTTCCTTGAGTTATCCTCATCACCATTGATAGATTACAATTTAATCCACATATTTTTTTATATGTGAAGAAATTCTCTTGGTGGGGCGGGTATGGGTATGGGGCGGGGGAGGTCAAAACCATACCCGCCCCATACCCATCAAACTTTTTGCGGGTTTTACCCATACCCGCCCCATACCCGGTCAAAGCGGGGATTCCCCGCGTTGACTGGGTCGGGGGCGGTCGGATACCCGCGGCCATGGGTTTTATTGCCATCCCTACACGGACACCATCATCCACCCTTATTGCACTTTGCTCAACCCTTTTGTCTGCCAAATGGCACATCAGAAATGAAAACCCAACAAATTGTTGTTGCCCTAGGTCCTACTAAAGCACTTGACTTGCAACCAGTACACAAATCTGAAAATAGCCACCAAAAAGAGGCAATGCTTTCGTTTCCAAGAAGTCCGGCCGTCGGTTAGCTTGGCAACTCATTTGAAAAAATTACATCCCTATTAATTATAGTTCATTTTTTATTAAATTTATGTTGCGTTTAATAATCTTTGCGAATTAAAAACTCATATTAATTACATTCTTTGATTTGAACTATCATTGTATTCATACAACTACCATTGCACCTGTACACTAATATCATTAATTACACTGATACAACTACCATTGCACTGAGAGAAAAAAGGAAAGTAATTAATATGTGTTTTTAATTCAGACAGATTATTAAATGCAAGCACAGATTAATTACCTTGAAAACCTATAATTAATAGGGGTGTCATTTTCCAACCCCTTTAGGGGTAGTGAGGCTATCTCACCCCAAGAAGTCCACCTACATTTCCTTTTCTATTCGGCAGATATCAAGTTTCCAAATGAATTGGATTTATGGATTGGTGAATTGTATTGGTAGATTCATAGATCAAATAGAATGGATCAAATGGATTAGTGGATTGATGGATTGAATCATGAATCAAAGTGACATCTAAATATTGGACCAATATGTAAATTTTGAAAAGTTTAGATACTATGATGTCATAATATAAAATTTTACGTACCAAATTATTAAATACAAAGATATGGGTACTAAATCATAATTTGCTAACAATTCATTAATCCAATCTTTCATCAAATGGGTTGGATGTAAATAGACTAAATTAGTTGGGTATTATGTGAATGGATTGGATTTTATTGGTGGATTGCATTGATACAAAATGGTCACTTCTAAATGCATGTAAATGTATTCGTCATGTCTACGGTGTTATCCATTGTCATTATATTAAAATTGTGGTTTAATCATAGTTCAATTATTTCCTATTTTGCGTGGAGAAGATGTCGACGGAGGCGGCCGCCGGTTCCCCCTCCTCTTTTGCGTAGAGACTCAGAGATCTGCCCAAACATCTCCCCGGCACTCAAATCAAACCTCGACTTGAGGTCTCGGGGTCGAGTTATGTAAGAGTTTCCCCCCTTTCATTGACGAATCCAAATCGATGCCCAACTCTGGATTCGCGATTTCTAATCTCTTCAAAAAGTTCCTATTTTTTGTCAATTTAATTATTGCTTTTGTTGTGGCTGGTTAATTTTCTATCTGTGACATCCAAAAGCTGGTTATGAGGCTTGTACAATATCAGAAAGCCTTTCTAGGCTCTGTTTATCAGGCGCATGTCGTCTATTTAGTGCTCCTTCATTGAGACTCTTTGGGACGACAAGGAAGCTGCAATGCGGTTCCTTTCTTGCCCAATTTCATGGTTTCAGGGAGCATCAAATATGGAATCGGATTGAAGCTTTCTTGCCCAAAATCATGGTTTCGTCGTACCTTTTCACTTCGCCGATGAAGATTCCGGTGAAGAGGATCTTACCGGTAGGTATTAATTAAGAGGCAGACGGTAAAGACAATTATGTTTAATTTCCGTTACCTCTAATTTCTATCAGGTACAAATTTTCCGAGACTCAAAATGGTGATGATTTAATTTTCCGCTGATTAGGTTTTCAGTAATTAATTGCCTTTTTCAATTGTTAATTACCTATTCTTGGTCTCTTCTCTTTATTTTATAGAGGTTTAATTACTAATAAATAATAATCATCATTTATTGGGTCGTGGGTGTGAATTTCTAATCTTTCCCCTTTATAGTCCATAACTAATTCTTATTCTTTCCTTTCTTACTTGCAAATCTCATTAGTGATGGGTTTTGACTACGTTTCCGGTAACGGGAATTCGTTAAGTCACCTTTTTGTAATTAATTTAATTGCTTAATTATATATGCAATTACTTTCTTTCTTTATTCCAGCCATCGTGCTCTTATAGTATGGGAGTAATTGAAGATAATTAAATTAGTTTTATCGGTCTATCAGATGATAGTTTGATCTTATCTGTTTTGCTACAACTTTTTTTGTTGTCGTATTTGATAATTCTGATAGAGTCCTCTTTTATTTAGTGGGATATATTATATTTCCATGTATATGCTAGTTTGTTTTGTTTTGTTTTGTTTTGTTTTGTTTTGTAGGGGATGTTTCCTTAGCTTTCGTATTTAGACGCAATCAAGATGCCTTATCACCCATATGGGGTATTCATGGGGAAGTATTCTCCTTCTTCTCTCTATCTGAGTCAGTTTCGTGTCATTTTGCTCTTTGGAGCTTTCATAGAGCTGCCCGTCTCGTGGCATAACAGGCTCTTTTATCGGGAGTCCGGTTGCTTACGGACTACCATTCTTTATTATTATTTGTCTTATATGTTTATTGTCCGGCCATGCCCTGGGGGCTTATCTTGGATAAAAAAAAAAAAAAATTATTTCCTATAAAATCGTCTACCAATTTGAATTCAATACCAAATATTTCCAATCCAACCAACCTATATTCAATTCTTTCCTATAAAATCAACTACCAATAATCCAATATGGATCCGTACAGGTATTTCCAACCCAACCACTACAATAGTGACTTCTAAAACATTGCGTTGTGGAGTTCGTGACCCTCCACCTCAAATCCCTCCCTGGATTCAAACCTTACTGCACTGAAATTTTATGAAGTGTTGCTGTAATTTAGTGGATGCGTTGATTTATACAATGAAATGAAGGTCCGACAAAGGAGAAATATAAAGCCAATGACACCCTTGATCCTTTTGGCAAGAGAAAACGTTAGGGCGAATTTATTAGTGCCTACTCATACTAGTAGTACATATAATGCATGTGATACAAAGCATAAAAACCAGTATAAGTAAAGCTACTAAGCTCATCCCGATCTTACAAAGCTTCTGGTTCGTCGATTTCGAAGACTGGAACAGCTCGCAGAAATGGAACTGTGATCTCAGTTCATCAGTTTTCCCGCTTGCTTAATTCAAATTCATGAGATAGGTGTTTTGTAGAACGGACAAACTATGCATCTGCTTCAAAGGAATGCTTTATTTGCAGGGCAGCTCTGACCACATTTCCTCGTGTAATAATCCCGACCTTCAAAAGTTCAAACAGCCAGATCAAAAGCTTATGGAGTTTTCATTACAGGAAGTGAGAAATTAACTGGTCAGAATAGATAAAAACATCTCTCACCAGTTTCCCTTCAGAATCTACAACTGGAAGACGACGGAACTTCGTCTCCAACAGTAATCTGGCACGATATGAAACAACCAAGGAAATCAATGCAGCGATGGTCGCAAGTGATGCAGCAGCCCGGGGGAAAAAAAAACTTTAACCGCGAACATACCTTGCAGCATCTTCAATGTTAGTTGTTTCACGAACAACCATTGGCGCTGGTGTCATCAAGTCACCCACAAGTTTCCCGTTCGTCTTACTGAGTAACTTTTGTATCTCATTGAATGTCTGCACTGATTTTATGGGTATCAGAGAAACTAAAATGCTGTCTTGCATAAAGATGGAGTATAGTTCTCTTTCAACTTTAGCATAGAATATGTTACCATGAGATTCATTATATACTTAATATTGACATAAACATCAATGCCAAATATTCTGTCTCGCAAAATTAGTTTTTGCTCTATTCTCCGACAGACTAATCAACCTATACTAAACTGTTATTGCCATTCTCAAATAGAAATTAGTTTTTGCTCTATTCTCCGACAGACTAATCAACCTATACCAAACTGTTATTGCCATTCTCAAATAGAAATAGTTCCATATACTTCCATCACTAATGCAAAATCCATTAACAAGAGATCTAACTCCTTCAGATATGGTGCTGTCAGAAAAACAGGAGTCCAGAGTAGTCTAAAACCATCTTTTTTCTTTCTCAAGGGCCTTAGACACTTAAGATATCCAATTGCAAGTCGTGGAAAATAGATCACAATTGTGTAGTATTTATGCATGACGAAAAGTGTGCTAGTTATCGTGTTTGTCCATTAGCATTTAGAAGAGACAGTGATAACATACTTTCCAGGTGCTGTCTACTTCAGGAAACATGCCGCTGTCAGCTCTCTGGCCTGGTTAAAATACTAAAACCATTAGTACCCAAACAAGAAGATGTTAAAATGGCATCTACATCAGTACACTATCAATAAAGAAGGTATATGAAAGAGGGTTCCTGTTACAAACTATTTGCAACTCTACCAGTTAGCTGCTTGGTCAACAGTAATGGTAAACCAATCAGCATCAAGTTAAGCATCGCCATACTAAGATATTGAAGATCCTAGTTTCTTTTATTTGTGCTTTCTAAGAGATGGCAGCTATGAGTAAACATGGAGATTCTCTGATCCAGTGAATGCATAGCCTATATAAAAGTTTCTCGACAACTTGGAATACCAGGTCTAATGATGTGAGTGACCTACTCCAAGGGTGTAATCAGGAAGATGGCGAAAGCAATAGAGTTCCAACATGATTTAGAGCAGCAAAGCATTGTAAATGGTAGTTCAGAGATTCAACTTGCCTGATATGGTGTCGAGTGCTAGTAAGTCATAATCCGACACCAGACCCACCTGCGGTTTAAAAAAATCTCCAAATCACTTCCAAAAGCTCAACTCTTAGTGTGAATACAGTGGTAAACATCATAAGCACCACTGCTAGTCATTCAATATCACAAGTTAACTTGCAGTTGAAAATCCTGTTCAGCTTTGCATAAATCCAGCCTTTTGCTTATAAAGGAAAGAAAATAATAAACGGACAAAAAATTGAACTTAATATTTCCAGAAATAACAACATGAAATCAAGCTGAAGCATAGAGAAAGAGAGACAGGGGAAGTACCAACTTCCAATCATCATCTATCACAGGGAAGCCAGTAATTCTGTGTTCCACAAGGGTCTCCAGTGCTGTTGCAACGAAGAAAACAACATTGGTAACTAGATTACAGACTAGTCAACAAATCTATCTAATTCAAACCGGTACCTTCATCCACAGTTGTCGTCGGTTTCACCACCCGCAACTCGTCTTTCTTTGTCATAAAATCACCAACTGTATACACACCATTTTTAGGCTGCATAACCAACAAGGGAAACAGTTAACGAGTACCCAACTTTAAGAATGCAAGGACAGAACATTTCATAAGTGACACTAGAGGATGAACCTTTCTCTTCATTCTAACACTACAAATTACAAAAATGGCAAGTATTTCCAACCATGTATTGCATGATCAAACTTACTGGAGTCCTAGTTTACAGCTAAAGATCCATATACAAAACAATATGTCGCAACGCAATACACCAATAATTTGTTACAACGCAATATTCACAGACAATCACATTACATTCAATGAATTTTGGTGGCTCGGGCAGTAGTAGCACATGAACAATCCCATCGCCACAAGGCACCATGAGAAATCAAGAAACGACCCTGGATACCTTCACTCAGTCTCAGGGCACCGCCTCAAAAATGAGAGGCAAGCTCAATTGAACCAACATTATCCGGGGGAAAATTTGCAGGGCAAATATCTAATCACCGCCAATCAAACATTGAATCAATGGGGAAAATCGCCACATAGAAAAAGGATCAATAAAAATTCGCCGTGAACGGGGCACGCAGCTCAAGACAAATACCGGTATCACGGAGGCCATCAAGGTCCCGCTCGCGGAAACGGCAGAGGACGACAACGCCCGACGATAAGAAACGCGAAGGAGTCTCCCTGCGGGGCGAGAGAGAAGGAGGCAAGGCAGCTGGCGGTGAGAGAACGAAACGGCGGGAGTAGCATTAGTGAGAGTGGCGCTGGTAGCAGTAGTCGCTGCCGCGGCGGCACGGAGGCGCGTGGAGGAGGGAGAATCGGTAGGGAGAAGGGAGTTCATATCTGGCGCCGGAGGGGAATTCCCTTGGAAGGAGAGTGCTCACTTCGCTTCTTGTCTTCCTCTTCGACGGCGGAAGAGTTCAGCGGAGAAGCCGAAGAAAGGAAATAGGAAATTGATGGAGCCGCCGCGGGGCAGATGGATAACTGTGGCGGTAAAGGAAAGTTTGGCTGGAATTTTTCACCTTTCCTCGGAATATTGATCCTACTACTTAGAAGCCGGTTTCAAAAGTAATATGGTTCAATCAGTATACAATCAATTTAAATTTTGATTTATATTGATTTTAACAAAACATATGAGATCGTGGAAAACTATGTCGTATTAAATCGAGATTTATACTTTCAACGAAAATTAGAGGCAACTTCGTGACTTGGGATCAGTGGCGCAGCCAGAAATTTTGTTAAGGTAGGTCCAATATAAAAAAAAATCTTATTAATATTGCATGATAATTCATGATGTATTTCCATATATTAAAAAGTGTGTGTTTCACATATAATTCATTAAGAAAATTGCATCAGGTAAAAGGTGAAAAGGGCAATGATAATTGTGGGGGAATTTTGAAAGCATATCGGGTAGGAAGATAATTTCGACCTAACTCATTTTACCCGACTTGTTTGACCTATTTTTAGGCAAGTAATACCCACCTAGTAGACGAGGCATGATGGGCATGGGTACTCTCCTCGACTTAACCTGCTTTGACCGACCAAATTTTCGTCATGTTTCCCTCTAAATTACCTGTAATTTTACTCAACTTCTTTAGAATTTTACTTTTATCATATCATGTTCTAGCTATAATGAAGTTATAAATATGTGAGACTTAATTTCTCAAATAATTTAACTACATTTATCATATTATAGTTTGTCTCCTGATTTTTTAATGAAAAAATGAATATTTCTAATGTTTTGCATTTAAACTACATACTCATATGTGTTGACCTATCCCGATCTGTGCTCCATAATAGAATACCCGACCTGTACGCAACATGCCACGAGACGTATATGAATAACGAGATATCCATATCTCGGACCAGCCCTTTTATCATTTTTAATACCAGGGGTAGGGATGGGTAAATAGAGACAAATGAGATTGTATTTCCGTTTATATAAGCTCCAATACTACATAATAAATATATTATATTTATACTAAAATGACTTATGGTCTAGCTGTGAAAACTGAAAACCCTTCTAATTAATGGGAAGCAAGTCCCTCCTTCAAAGCTCCTCCATATCCGTCGGGTCGTTGCTGTATTGGAATTTGGAAGGCTGGCCAAGGTGGTGCAGCGGACCCACCTTGGCATGGTGTGGCTCCGCCACTGCTTGGGATGTCAGGAAGGACGCCTCGAGATACCTGCATAAAAGGTCCTCAAGGGTAAGGCGCCCGAGACACTCTCTTACGATCTAGTGAGAGAATGTATGCCAATGTTTTTGTGAGAGTGGGTAATTGAAGTTATCATTACTGATATCGAGGAGCTTTATTAATGTTCCACGATTGAAAATGGCTGAGGTACGTGGAGAAGAGTGGGGTCCTAAGATCCCACTTCCATAAATTAAAATGATTTTATATGTGTATATACTTGTTTAATTGGATTACATTAGGAATTCAGGACCTCATTCATATGAAATTTAATTGTCATAATATTATGAAACACGCAAATAAATTAGACTATATTGGTTAGATACCATTAAAAATCCTCCATTTTATAATTCTCTATTACAAAAATGTCTAATAATTCTACTATATATATATATGGTTCAGGCTAGCGTACACCTGACGTATGCTATACACCTACATTCACACTTATAAATAAATTTTAATTATAATTGAATTAGTTTAAATCAAATTAATTATAAATTATAATTATAATTGCAACCGTATCTTTCAAAATATATTTTTCCTACGTTTTAGTGCCACAATAACTGTAACCCACATTATGCTTTTGGGATTTTTAGCCCAGTTAGAGGATTCCATGTGCACATACGAATAAAGAGACAAAACCCTCTTCATCTTCTTCCTCCAGTCGACTAAATCCATACAAATCACCAAACAGAGAATTGAAAGAAACCAACGATAACAAACTTGCGGCACTGCAGAGAATCTCAATTCCCAGCGAATCCAAAACCTGGAGACAGGAATTCAGATTCTATCACTAGCAGGGAAAAGTAATGCAAAACCCATCCATCAAAATTGGAACCTTCTGAACTGTTGAATAAGAAACATCTGCAACATCCGTGTGAGGAAAAGAACGCATAACCAAAGGAAATATGTAGCGGCAAATGCATGGCGAAAATCTCCATGGTAACAATACTAGAAACGAAAGGGGGAAAGCAAGAATTATTGGAATGACAAAACCAGAGGAATGAGGAATCACAAGGTTAGGGATTGCGCCGGAATGAGTAAACCCAGATGACCGAAACACGTGCTTCATCTCCATCACCACAGACGATTGGGATCCACGAAATCCCTACTCGAAACGCCGCAATTGAAACAAGGGATCGGGACTGCGCCGGGATGAGAAACCCCAGAGAACTGAACACAAATGCTTCATCTCCCTGGACGATCGGAATCCATAAAATCCCTACTCGAAATGCCAGGTCCGAACAGGCGACCAGGAACGCGCAGAAATGACAAACCCTAGAGGAACGAACACATGTTATCGGGATCCACGAAATCCCTCCTCGGTCAGACGGCAAGACAAATAAATTGGCGTTTTCATAAAAAAATGGCGTTCCAGAACTCTCTCACTGTAGACGATCAGCAAAATCCCGACGAATTTCGGCGTCGGAATGACAAACCACAGGCGCTTCATTTCCTTCATCATACATGAATGAAATTGGCGTACCAGACCCCCATCACCACAAACGATCGGGATTGTGCCAGAGATGAAAGCGCCAAAATCCTTGCTCTACACAACAAGTCGGCGTCTCCATTGGAAACCAATCAAATACGATCAGGATTGTGTCGGAGATGAAAGCGCCGAAATCCCTGCTCTACACAGCACGCCGGTGCCCGCATTGGAAACCAGTCAAATAGGAACTTGAAAAGAACACAAAACGATGCCTCAAGTGTAATTTAAAAGTTTGAGTGTTTTAAATCTAATTTGAAGAAAGCATTCACTTTAATTCATATAATGAATATTTAGATGATGATTTAGACATAACGATTGGTTAAAAAAAAGACATAACGAATGGTATAGAAAGTTATGGGTGGATAGTGAATAGGAAAATAAGTCAATAGATTTAGTTGTAATCATAATTATGATTAATAATAAAAATAATCATAATTAATTTAAAAATAATTAATATATTAGTGTGGACACAGGTGTACAGCGTACGTCTGGTGTATGCTAGCCTTTGCCATATATATGTGGTGGCTACTTCTGCGCATTCACTTTTTTCGGTGCACTCAGTGCACCCGACTCTAAAAGTGTCCATAGTTAATCAAATTTTGAACTTTAATTAGTACTCTCAATCTAATATGATGATATGACATAGAATCATAACAAATCAATCTATTACCCTAACCCCTTAACCTTCAATTTTGAATCACTACCCAAAATCCCAAATTGTAAACCTAAACCCTAACCCTAAATCTCCAAATTCTAAATCCTTCAAATTAAAGTAAATTTTGAATGATTTTTTTTCTTCAAATTCATGTGCTTCTGGTTCATAATATCATAAGCAACAATTGATACCGTTTTCACATGAATCGCATGCTCATAATGACAATTATGAGGCGGGTGCACCGAAGACGCCACCATATATAATATATATGGTGGCGTCTTCGGTGCACTCACTTTTTTTTTGTGCATTTAGTGCACTCACTTCAAAACCGTCATTTTAAACATGCGATTTATGTCAAAATGATGTCAATCATCACTTATGATGTGATGAACAATAACGCACATGAATTTGCACAAAATTCATTGAAGATTTACTTTAATTTGAAAGATTTAGAGTTTAGAGATCTAGGGTTAGGGTTAGGGTTTATAATTTGGGGTTTAGGGATATGACTCAAAATTGGAGGTCTTGGAATTAGGGTAATCCACTAATTAGTTGTTATCATATGTTATATCATCATATTACACTAATTCTACAAATTAAAATTCAAAATCCGACACCTTAAGACTAGTTTTTGAGTTGGGTGCATTGAACGCACTCATTTTTGTGAGTGCACCGAAGTAGTCACCTATATATATATGGGTTAGGCTAGCGTACGCCCGGGCGTACGTTAGACTACCGTACGCCCGTTTGAGTTTTGCTATTTAGATCATGAATTAACCGGAGTTTTGGGCATGATACTATACCCTAACCACTAATGGATAAACCCCAGTCCCTAGTTTTCTAACCCAAATCATGAGATTCGTTTAATCTTGAAATGAAAATCAACAATAGTTTCGATGAATCAAAACCGTTGATTTTCATTTCAAGATTAAATGAATATTATGCTTTGGGTTAGTGAATTGCGGACTGGGGTTCACCCATTAGGGGTTAGGGTATAATATCATGCCCCAAACTCCGGTTAATTCATTGTCTAAATAGCAAAACTCAACGGGCGTACGGTAGGCTTTGGTACGTCCAGGCGTACGCTAGCCTTTGCCATATATATGGTGGTGGTGTCTTCGGTGGACTCACTTTTTTGGGTGCATTCAGTGCATTCGCTTCATAATCGTCATTTTAAACATGCGATTTATGTAAAAATGTTGTCAATCATCACTTATGATGTGATGAACAATAACACACATGAATTTGCACAAAAGCCATTAAAGATTTACTTTAATTTGAAGATTTAGAGTTTAGAGATTTAGGGTTAGGGTTGACAATTTGGGGTTTAGGGATAGAACTCAAAATTTAAGGTCTAGAGCTTAGGGTAATCCGCTAATTAGTTGTTATAATATGTTATATCATCGTATTAAACTAATTCTACAAATTAAAATTCAAAATCTGGCACCTTAAGACTAGTTTTTGAGTTGGGTGCATTGAACGCACTCATTTTGTGAGTGTACCGAAGTAGTCACCATATATATATATATATATATATATATGGCAAAGGCTAGAGTATGCCCGACATACGTTGTACATATGTGTTCACACTCATAAATTAATTTTAATTTATAATTAAAATTAATTGCAATTATAATTACAACCACACCCGTTAATAAACTTTTTTGTATGTTTTAGTCACACAACATTTTCTATCCTACATTAT